ACTGCGAAGTAGTGTCTCAGTATAAAACAAGTTCACTTCGGGCGCGAAGCTTAAGTCAATCTTCATATCTAATGGGGCACATTTGCCTTACGAACTGGTCCAACATTTGCGAATTGGGGGACATACGGGCACCATAGAAGATGGAATCCTGGTCTCGACATACGTAACTTTTGTTCCTTCCTCCTCGTCGCCTTCGGTCCTCCCGAAAGCCTTCTTCCCTGTCCACGTTCCTGTAGGTAGGAGTCACTGAACAGCTGAGGGTGAGCTCCGAGGATGCAGATGACATGGGTGATTCACTGGGGGGTGGCATAGAGACCCTTCGCCGTGAATAGGACCGTGGCGGCCAAGCATCTACCTCCATACGGCTCCTACGCCTTTGTGCCTCCCGATTATTTTCCACTCTGGGTGGGTACTCGATGTAGGTCTCTTTGTAGCCGGGCCTGTTTCCTTGCTGAATGACCGCTGGAAGTTCGTTCACCGTGTCCTCATAGCGACTGGGGGAGGCGCCTTTGGGTTGACTACGACGCATGTCTGGTTCAGAGCCGGGAAACCCGAAGTAACTGTACTGGCTATCCGCGGGCGGTTGACCTGCACCTGCATCGCTCGCCGACTCACCTAAAACCACTTCATCTTGGTCGGAATCCCGTGGAGCCTCAGATGTACTGTTTTTGGCCTTTGCCTTTTTGTTTTGTTTTTCCTTGTTCTTTGTCTTTTTTTCCTTGTCCTTCTTCTTCTTGTCGTTCTTCTTCTTCTTCTTCTTCTTTCCCGCTGCTGAGTCTTCATTGTTCGCGTCGCTGCCTTCTTCATCTGCCTCGTTGCGCGTGGTTACGGTGTTTTGTCCCTCCGTAAGACTTCCAGTTTCTGCGGGTCGCACTCCAAGGGCAGTGGAGTTTGCCTTGTAGGCATTGACTGCGTCGAAGAACGTATCCACTGCTGTACTGTCGTCGATGCGAATAAGGTAGAGTTGCACAGGACTGTCATCCTTTTTGTCTTTTTTCTTCTTGTTCCACTCTTTTTGAACCTGAAGGCTGAAGACAGTTGGATCGGCTGGGATTCTGCCAATGTGAATTATGTCTGCCAGCCAGATGGGATACTGCTTCTTA